TCTCACTTGCGTACACGGCTTCTTGGCAAGTTCCATGATGCTCCCGCCACCGGACGCTTTCAATCGCGCAATTGGCCGACTTTGTGAGCGATTTTGGTGGCCCGGCCTTCTCGGCGACGTCACACGCTATTGCGAGTCATGCGAGGTTTGCCGACGCTGCAAATCCCGCAACCACCGTCCGTACGGCGAGTTGCGACCATTACCGGTCCCCTTGCGGCGAAGGGAAGTGATTGCCATGGACGTTACCGGGCTGTTCCCCAAGCACAAGACTGGTGTGGATGGGATTCTCATGGTGGTTGACTGACTCACCCAGTTCGCCATGTTTTTGCCTTGCTGCTATCATGCCAAGGCACCGGAGTTGGCCGAAGTTCTTTACGCCGGTTGGATTCGAACCAAGGGTTACCCCAAGGAAATCGTCTGCGACCGCCACAATTGGTTCATGTCCAATTTTTGGTTGGCTCTCATCAAACAATGGGGCTCATCTCTCAAGCCAAGTTCGGCTCGCCACCCCCAAACCGATGGCCAAACGGAGAGGGCGCATCAGACCGCATAGGTTCTCCTTCGCACTCTCATCCGTCCCGACCAAAAGGATTGGGTTGAGCGGCTGCCGGATGTCGAGTTGGCATACAACTCGTCCATCCACCCGGCTATCGGGATGTCGCCCTTCGAGTTCGAGCACGGCTCGCCTGTCACTTCTCCGTTGGACACAATCATTCCACGAACGGCCGAGAGAGACGTCCATCTTCTTTTCTTGCGTCGGATGCAAGAGCTACTTGTAAAGGCACGCGACCAGATGGCTAAGACGCAGCAACGCATGAGCCAACAGGCCAATCGCTAGCGTCTTCCTTGTCCATTCCGCGCCGGCGATATCGTTTGGGTTTCCGCCGCGGAGTTGAGCCTCGAACAAGATATCTCTCGCAAGCTCCTCCCGAAATGGATGGGGCCGTGGCCAATTGTGGCACCCGGTGGGGATGCACCCGAAGGACCTTCCTTCATCATTCCGGTGCCCGCCCACTTGCCCGTCTAGCCGGTTTTTCATTGCTCCAAGTTGGCTCTTTACTCGCCAGCGGACGATGACGATTTTCCTGGGCGACGATCGCAAGACCCACCCTTTATGGACGGTTTTCAAGAGGTCAGCGACATCATCTCCCAGTGATGCTATGGCAACAGACCGACCGAATACTTGGTACACTTTGCGTACTGCACCCACAAAGCCGACCGTTGGTTGACCCGTGCGGAACTCCAAGCCACAGCTCCAGATGTTCTCGCACACTACGAACGCAAGATGCAAGGCAAGCCGGTATCTTCGGCTCCACGTCGCACCCGCGTCCAGGTTCCACCTTCAGATCGTCAGCTTCGCCCTCGACCCGGCTTGACTTCATAAGGAGGGGGGGGTGTTACATGCTGCGCCTGCAACAGGCTGCACGGGCCATTTTCAGGCCCGTGATGTTTTCAGCCTGAAAGCCTGAAAACAAGGGCCTACAGGCCCTGTGTTGTTTCAGCCTTAAAGCCTGAAAACAAGGGCCTACAGGCCCTGTGTCGTTTCACCCCGACCTGCCCTGAAACTTAGGCACCAGACCAGGGTTTTAGCACAGGCCATTTTGGGCCTGTTTTCAAGACAACCCTTGGTTGAGTTTCAACGCCAGGGTCTGGCACGTTTTGGCATTGGCAAGAGCAGCCTCCTGGACGGGCCAGCACTATATAGAACTGGCCCGCCCTGCAGGCTGCAGGTAGTTCATAGGGACTTCCCAGGCACTTCACGTGCAGTTCAGGAGGCAGGAGGTAGTCTTCAGGATTCGGCAGCAGCACTCTGGAGGAGTGCTGCAAGTGTAGTAGTAGTGTTAGCAGTAGTCTTCAGCGCTGGGCGCTAGTAGCGTTAGCAGTAGTTTTCAGACTCAGACATTTTGACGAGGGATTATTTGAGCCCCCCCTCTTCTTCGTCTGATTCTCTCCTCCTCGTCTGTGCATGATCTGGGCCTGACGCATTCTTCCTGTTTGTAGCGACAGGCCCCTTCACAC